CATTGGTCTCAAGAATACTATTCAATGGGTTGACAGCTATTGGAGTGGAGTTTATTAGGAATGATATCGAGTATAGAGTTTACGCTAACAAAGAGGTTATCGCTTCCGGCGGTAATTATTACACAAACTTGTATTTCATATTTATTTATAATTTAATTTTCTATGACTTTTAGGTCCCATAAATAGCCCACAATTATTAATGTTGTCGGGTGTGGGTCCTAGAGATCACTTACAAAGTCTAGGAATTCAAGTCTTATTGGATCTACCGGTTGGTGACAATTATCTCAATCAACCATCTGTTATGTTAACTCCAAAAGTTAAACCCGAGTACTTGTATCTCACAAATGAAATTGGAAAGATAAACATAAAACAATTAAGTGAATTGTACTATGAGCAAGGTGGTGTACTCGCACAACACCCTGAAGTTGCATTATTTTTTAGCACACAAAGCAACAAGGACAAACAATGGCCTAATATTAACATTATTTATAGAGTAGTTAATGATACAATATATAGCACAGCTTATTTGGCTCGTTTCAAAAGTCGTGGGACAGTTCGCCTACAATCAACTGATCCCAGGGTTCACCCAATACTGAACCCAAACTGGTTTTCCCATCCGGAAGATGTAGAGAATGCATTAGAATCAACCAGGATGCAATTTTATATATTTGAGAAAACACAACTTGCTAATTATGTTATACTACCAAAATTATCTGATTATGGCTGTGCGATGTGCACCGGGAGATATATTTACGAGTGCACAGAGGGGTTATTATGTTATATGAAGTATTTTACCTACAGTTCCTTACATCCCGGGGGCAGTTGTCGTATGGGCTCAATAGACAGACCCGATGTTGTGGTCGACCCCCAGTTGAGGGTTAAGTACGCGAAGAACCTCAGGGTTTGCGACTCATCGGTGTTCCCAGTGGTTCCCAACTCTAACACCGCCGCTATATCTATAACCGTTGGCTACAAGTGCTCGCAATTGATCAAAGATGCTTATAATTTGAAATAATGTAGCGATAGATTTGATTTGAAATCACAATGTTGATATATTGTATTTGTAGTACTTGTAGTGTGCAGTATAATGTAATTAATTTCCCTGGATCACTTTAATTCACACTTAATTAAAATGTTTATCATTAATATTTTCAAAAATAACTGTATTACTATTTAAAATAATATCTCATCTACATTTAAGTGCTATAAATAGTCCACAATTATTTGTGGTACCGAAGTAATCCATATCCAAAGAGACAGTTATCAGAACATGCTTTGGCAACAATTTTTGGCAAATCTTTTGCAAATTTCGTTAAATTAATTAGTTTTATAAATTATTTATGACAAATATGTGTGTTTTAGTATGAATCTAAGTCCACCAACACACAATAACCAAATTTATGCCATCAAACAATGATATAAGTTCAATGGTACAGAATATTATTGCTGCAATTCTAGAGTAATTTGAAATTTTTGTATCCACATCATCAAAATAACAGTACTTTTTTCGTGTGATAACTGGTTTCGCTTCTATCCATGAGGTAATGCTCATTATCTTGATCATTTAGGTCATTGGTCTTATTAGTGACAAATAGCTGTCCATACATATGACGCTCAGACACCCTTATAGTGCCACACCTGCCCGTGAAGTACTCGCGACAATATATGACTAAATTCTTGGGCAATGATAGCAATTGTGGCCAAAATATGTCGGATTTCGTGAAATTCTGATTGTTTTCCAGTCTTTTGCTTTGCTCTTCAGTCCTCTTCCAACAGAAACTGAACTCAAACCGACTGTCCGGTGATCTCATGGCCCGACACTGCAGGTTATTGAGTGTTAACTCAGTTTATCCAACACCCACAGTTCGCACAGTTATCCAACATTTCAGGTATAAGACCCGTTGTGGTGGACAGTTGTTTATATCTCATCATCAGTTATGAAAGTTTTACAGATATGCAACCTCCCGCCGATTTATTTGCCAAAATAGGCTGTCCAGTATGCCCGGGGAGGTATATGTATGAGTGTACAGAAGGTTTGAAATGCTTGGTACAATACTATAGCGCAACTTCCTATCATCCCGGGGGTAGTTGTCGTATGGGCTCAATAGACAGACCCGATGTTGTGGTCGACCCACAGTTGAGGGTTAAAAATGTGAAAAACCTTAGGGTTTGTGATTCATCGATATTCCCAACGATTCCCAACTCCAACACCGCGGCCCCCACTATAACTGTGGGCTATAAATGCGCCCAATTTATCAAACAGTATTATGGTTTATAATAAGTAATTTTTAGTGTTCAGGATAATCCAGATCAATATGATAAAGTATTGCATTGAGATGAAATAATTTTATATTTATTAAAAGATTTCGTTGGGTCTAATAATTTGAATAACTATAATATAATGACAATGAAGGTACTGATAATAGTACTAATACTAATGACCATGGTAGCTTTTATGAATATAACTATCCATCAATATTTAAGAATATTAATTATATTGCCTGTTTAATTAATTTGTTATGGAAATCATAAATTATATTAAATTTGAGATAAATGTAATATTTTAGATATAATTTATTTTTAGTAGTTTGTGACAAGATTTTGAAATGAAATTAGTAATCTATGAAAACATTTTTAGTAATTAAACTAATTTACCCTCAAATCAACATATTGTGAATCTATTTATAACCTAAAACAAAATGTTTTTTCATAATAATTATGACATACAAACAACACAGTATTGCTACAATAAACAAATAAAAGTATTTGTAAAAATATATAATTTAAAACTATGGTCGCAATATCTTTGTTAACATACAAACTACTGGCGCTCTCATGGATTACGGCTCAGAGACAGTTAATCCATGACAGGACGGCATCACGTGAGACGTGGGATAATACGTACGACTTTATAGTAGTAGGCGCCGGGGCTGCCGGTGCTGTGGTGGCCAACAAACTCAGTGAATGCAAGTCAGTGCGTGTGCTATTACTAGAGGCTGGAGGTGCTCAAAGTGCTATTTATAACGACATACCCGGTATGGATAGCTACATTTACCCCAATGGTATCAATTACTGGAACTATTATTCGGAACCCAGACCTAATTATGGACAAAAATACCCTGGGGGGCGGGTTAGGGAACCCAAAGGTAAAACATTGGGAGGCAGTACTACACATAATGGGATGATCTATAATCGGGGTAATCGTCGGGATTATGACGAGTGGGTCAATACATACGGTGCTGTCGGTTGGAGTTATAAGGATTTGTTGCCAGTGTTTAAGGAATGGGAGAATAATACCGATCCGTCTGTTGTCGAGAGTAATCCCGGATATCACGGAACTCGTGGACCAATACAAGTGTCATCGCCTAAAAGTCCAGATAAAATATTTGATGTAATATATGAAGCATTAAATGGATTGGGATATAGTTATACGGATATCAATGGTGCGAATCAAGAGGGATATACGTTAACCCAGGCTTTCATTAATGGACAGGGGTTTAGGTCGGGAACGGGTAATGCATTCGTGGACCCGAATCCACACGAAGACAATCTGCATATCGTTTGCAAAGCATTGGTCTCAAGAATACTATTCAATGGGTTGACAGCTATTGGAGTGGAGTTTATTAGGAATGATATCGAGTATAGAGTTTACGCTAACAAAGAGGTTATCGTTTCCGGCGGTAATTATTACACAAACTTGTATTTCATATTTATTTATAATTTAATTTTCTATGACTTTTAGGTCCCATAAATAGCCCACAATTATTAATGTTGTCGGGTGTGGGTCCCAGAGATCACTTACAAAGTCTAGGAATTCAAGTCTTATTGGATCTACCGGTTGGTGACAATTATCTCAATAAACCAACTGTTACGTTAACTCCAAGAATTAAACCCGAGTACTTGTATCTCACAAATGAAATTACGAATATAAACATAAAACAATTAAGTGAATTGTACTATGAGCAAGGTGGTGTACTCGCACAACACCCTGAAGTTGCATTATTTTTTAGCACACAAAGCAACAAGGACAAACAATGGCCTAATATTAACCTTATTTATAGAATAGTGAATGGTACAATATATAGCACAGCTTATTTGGTTCGTTTCAAAAGTCGTGGGACAGTTCGCCTACAATCAACTGATCCCAGGGTTCACCCAATACTGAACCCAAACTGGTTTTCCCATCCGGAAGATGTAGAGAATGCATTAGAATCAACCAGGATGCAA